TTGTGAAAATAAAAGAAAGAATGTCAACAGTAATCCCAAGAATGGTAGAATCTGGAAGCGAAAAGCGTAAGTGTTCTCTTCAGCAGGGTTCTTTCTTGCCTCTCTGGTAGAATTTATTGGCAGCTCCCCAGTAGATTTATGTTGATGTTTCCTCATTTGAGCTATATTGAGGTCTCTTCAGTAGAGTTTGCTGATATTCCCTTAGCAGAGTTTTGTTTCTTTGGATAAACCAGACGAGTGTTGAACGGTTTTCCACAACAAAGTCTTGATTCAAATGATGAATATGTTTTATTCATTCAACCAGGTTATGATTGGACAGTTGAGAAATTTGAAGACCATTTCTCCTTGATGTTTTTGCCCAGGCGGAGATTTGTCTTTGATGATTCCTAGCAGAGGTTATACACATTTGCTTTGGATTATTCCCTAAGTAGAATGTTGAGAAGTGTTGACATAGCAGTCACCTGTCGGGTTTTCTCTCACCTTGTGATTGGGTGTTGATTTAAAATCCCCCACGGTTTGACTTTTTGCTATGATGTTAACTTCTTATTCCCTTGGCAGGGTTGGAAGATTTGTGTTGCTATGTTTTCTCCAACAGTTTTTTTCTCAAAGCGGAGTTCATATTGTTGTTCCCTTTTGTTGAATTATTGATGGTTGAAGATTGATCTTTGGGGTCTTTTCCCAAGCGATCTCTTTGTCTCTTCAGCGAGATTTAAGCCTTGTAGTAGGATTTATTTTCCTTTGATGGCTCTTGTGTATCTCTTGCAGATTTTCTGTTGTTGATCCCCAGCACGATCTCCAATGATATCCCTAACTTGCGGAGATTAGCCGAGTATTTTAGTGGTGTTGTGGTGTTTTGTTCACCCTCTATTTGCCCTTTTTATCTGATTTATCAGCATATTCATACTCATTGCATGCGCATTCATTTTGGTTGAGCATAGCATGTCTTTGTTGCATTGTGCATCCTGCATTTTTTGTTGGTATTTCCCTTTTCCCGATGTTGTTATCTCGCAGAATGCGTGTGTCCTCTCTTCATTAGAGTGTCGACCCCTAAGCAGAAAATACCTATCATTTTTAATTCCCCACTGAGTTTATGCCTCGTGGAAGATGTTTTGTTTAGCTTTCCTCCCCAGTTTTTATCTGGATGGAATTGTTCCCCAGTTGAGTTATTTCCTCATTGGGTCGAGTCTTGTTTGATCGTTTCTTTCCAGTTTGTTCCTGGATTGAACTTTGGTCTCTTGCAGCAGTTACTTTGGTTTTCCCTGGGATGTGAAACCTGGATGATGAAAAGGTAGTTTTGAGGATTTATTTTCCTCGGCAGAATCTGTTATTGATCCCCATCAGAAGATGAAGATTTGATTTCCCCAGTAGTGTTTTGATAACACTCTCTTGGCAATTACTTATGCAACTTCATGTGGAAGCCTCTTTATTTGAGCAGCTTGTGTAATCTCCAAAAATTTACCTTCTCAATAAATAACATTTCTCTGGCTCATCCTCAACAGAGAAGTTTTTATCTGACCAGCTTTTCTGTCAATTGGAATTTCTGTGGAATAACTCCCGATGAGAATTTTATTGCATGGTTCAACCTGCTTGTATCTCTTTTAAAGATCCCCGACAGAGTTGTTAATATCTTTTTCCAACAAATGGTTGTCTCTTTATTTGAGAAGTTTATTGTGTGTTTGGAGCTGCTCAGTAACAAGTAGCTGATGATATATCTCTTTCTCCTACCCAGTGACAGGTAGTCGAGTATGTTTGTCCTACCCAGTGTCACGTAGTTGACCTTTTATCTTTTTCTCCTACCCAGTAACAGGTAGTCGAGTCCGTCCTACCCAGTGTCAGGTAGTTGACATGTTGTTTACCCTATCCAGTAACCGATAGTTGGTAACCCCTTTTATTCAAGTTTATTATTCCCGCTAAACTACTCAGTAACCAGTACTTAGCGTTGCTTCTTTTCCTACCCAGTAACAGGTAGTTGATTATATTTCAATGAGTGGATTACTTTTTACCCAGTAACTGGTAATAAGTAATATATCTCTGTTTTCTACCCAGTAACAGGTAGTTGATTATATTTCAACGAGTGGATTACTTTTTACCCAGTAACTGGTAATAAGTAATACATTTCTTTATTTTCTACCCAGTAACTGGTAGATAACAATTCTCTTGTGTTTTTTGCACTTATTTTCTACTCAGTAACCAGTAGAAAGTATTTTACCTATTCTCTTCGGTTCGAATATCTTCGCCCAGTAACTGGCAGTTGGTATCTCTTTCCCCGTTGAGTCATTTCCTTTCTTTTATCGAAATAGGGTCTTGCTTTTTTTTGTTTTCTCCTGTGGAGTCTCTTTCCTTCTTTTCTCCAGTGTTTGTTTTACTCCTATGGCATTTTCTCCCCACGGTGGTCTTGTGTTTGCATACCATATCATTAGCATAATCATATCATTTGGTGGCCTCTTAGGGCCAAAAATTGGGTTTATTGTTATATTTAAGTCTCTTCTATCTGGTCGAGACAAAGATGTCAATCTTCATATCTCCGGATAGAAGAATCTTAAATAGGGGCAGCTGTAATACCCTAATTTTTACCCCTAAGATCCCACATTTCATTTGCATATCATTCCACAAACAAGATCATACTTTTTGATTCTCTTAGGTCCCTTGTTGTTTCTTACTTGCTTTATGTTTGTTTTTGTTTACTAACATCTAATCAAAATACCAAAAATATTTTTGTTTCTTCTTCTTCTCTGTGTGTTTAGGGGTTTGCAAGGAGATTGATGGCAAAAACATTCATTCAAGTTTAAATCAGATGGATGTTTGACCTCATCTTGGTCAAACTATCAAGAGTTTGCTTCAACTATAAGTTACCCGTGGTGGTAGGATATTTTCTCAGGAAATGAGATTGTTCAAGGTCAAATTGTCTTGTATTGAAATCCAGTGGTTTATCAAGCAGTGTTCTATGAGAAGTTTGGTCCATGACTATTATGATCAAGGTTCATCAGTCCAGGTTGTGTTCGTCTATGGATTTATTTTCCCAGAGGTTAATTCAGATAAATTCAAAGTGATTCAGTTTTAACCGAAGATTCAAAAGTTTGTTTGTGCAAGTCAAGTTTGATATCCAATCAAGTGTGCCATTTTCTACTCATATGGATCTTAAAGATGGTTTTCAAGAACCTGATTTTGGGGCAAGCGTGGACCAGTTTTTTTGAATGTTTTGATGGAATGAAAATTTCTCAATCTGCTTTAGGGAATAGTGGAATGTGGAACTGGACATGTTCGGTTTTCAATGCTATTACTGCTACATCCAGCCTTGCCTCTGGATCTTTGCATATTCCCTCTGAACAGCATCACATGGAAACCAATCTCAGGGCTGCTTTTTCAGGAGTATCTGTTGTTTTATCCTTCTGTGATAATGAACAAAGCTGTTTTTATAAGTCTAAAATTGGTAATACAGTTGGGTCACAGATTGATTATCTTGGTGCAGAGTGCAGTGAAATTGTTGTTGCCTTGAAGGTATGTCCTCAAATAATGACTTTTGATGGGACAGTGAAGCACGTAGAAGTTGCTAATTTTTTTTTGAACATTGGAAGTGATGCTGAAAATCAGAGTGCTTTGGTTGGACAGTTACAAACTAAGGTCCTTGATGCTCTCCCTTTGTCTACCTCTTACAATCTATATTCAGATTCATTAATTGGGCCAGCTGCAACAGACTTTCCATTTGGAAATAAGGATTTCTTACTGAAAGTTACATTGTTTAAAACTTCTGGTGTCACCAATTGCAAATTTACAGTGCAATCAAGTTCTTCAGATGGTTGTGTGACTGGGATGATATCATTCTCACTGAACCTGCCCCCTTTTACTTTCTGGATAATATTTTCTGTGATAAATGTGCTCACTAACCTGCTAAAGGAAATTGGAAAATCACTTGACGTGCATAATAAAGCCGAAGAGATTTTTTCTGAAACCTCTGATGAAAAGTGTGGATCATCTCAAAATGACATAAAGCGAAGTTACAGTCCCTGTGCGACATCCTTCTCCAATACAGAAGCCTTGCATGCCATGGTTCGGTTATTTCGCATGGTGCAGCCACTCTATAAAGGCCAACTGCAGAGGTTTCTTTTAAATCTTTGTGCTCATAGTGAAACAAGAGTATCTTTGGTGAAAATTCTGATGGACTTGCTAATGCTTGATGTGAGAAAGCCTGTCACATTTGCACTGTCAGTGGAAGTCATTTATTGAGCTGCAAAACTTCAGTGGTTTTAAAAAAAAAAGTATTGAATTATACCAAGAGAGTGACAGAGGAAATCTGGTTACAGAATGCACAACAGAGGGTGGAGATCAGTTTACTGTGTGACAAAAAGAGATGCATTTAGAGGAACAGCTCCAATCAATTTAACAGACAGGCTACACCAAGTGCTTCGTTGGGCGACAGGTTCCGTCGAAATCTTCTTCTCAAGAAACAGCACCTTATTGGCTAGTCCTAGAATGAAATTCTTGCAAAGAGTAGCATATTTCAATGTTGGAATGTACCCTTTCACTTCAATGTTTCTGATTGTGTATTGCTTCCTACCTGCACTATCCTTATTTTCTGGACAGTTTATAGTCCAATCACTCAGCGTAACTTTTCTAGTGTCCTTGCTTGGAATCACAGTCACACTATGCTTACTTGCACTACTTGAGATCAAGTGGTCAGATATCACACTACATGATTACTGGAGAAATGAATAGTTTTGGGTTATCGGCGGAACGAGTGCTCATCCCGCAGCTGCTTTACAAGGATTATTGAAGGTGATAGCAGGAGTTGACAACTGAGTATATCGGTAAAAAAGAATTAAGAAATAGGGCCAAATTGCAGATATCAGTATTCATAGCTTCCACCAACTATCCTAAACGGCACCTCCTTCCAATTCTCTTCAGCTACACCGACTTCCAACTCCATCCATTTTCAATTTCCGATTCTCAATTTCCCAATTTCTAGGGTTTTATTCTCGCATCTAGGGTTTTGACCCGATCGAATGGAGCCTCGTATTGGGAACAAATTCCGTCTTGGCCGCAATATTGGTAGCGGATCCTTCGGCGAGATCTATCTTGGTACAAATATACAGACAAATGAAGAGGTTGCAATCAAGCTTGAAAATGTCAAAACCAAGCATCCTCAATTGTTGTATGAATCAAAGTTGTATAAAGTACTTCAAGGAGGAACTAGTATCCCAAGTGTGAGATGGTTTGGCGTTGAAGGAGAGTACAATGTTCTTGCGATGGATTTACTAGGACCTAGTCTCGAGGATTTATTCAGTTTTTGTAATCGCAAGTTGTCTCTTAAAACTGTACTCATGCTTGCTGATCAGATGATAAATTGAGTTGAATATATTCATTCGAAGTCATTTTTACATAGGGACATCAAGCTAGACAACTTCCTGATGGGTTTGGGGAGGCGTGCTAATCAAGTTTATGCCATTGACTTTGGTCTCGCTAAAAAATACAGAGACACCTCTACTCATCAGCATATTCCTTACAGAGAGAATAAGAATTTGACAGGAACTGCTAGATATGCTAGTATGAATACACATCTTGGAATTGAGCAAAGCCGTAGGGACGACTTAGAATCACTTGGATATGTTCTTATGTACTTTTTGAGAGGAAGTCTTCCATGGCAGGGATTGAAAGCAGGTACTAAGAAACAGAAGTACGAAAAAATCAGCGAGAAGAAAGTTTCTACTTCTATTGAGTCCTTGTGTCATGGCTACCCCTCAGAATTTGCTTCGTACTTCCATTACTGTCGGTCATTGCGGTTTGATGATAAACCAGATTATGCATATTTGAAAAGGCTTTTTCGTGACCTTTTCATTCGTGAAGGGTTCCAGTTTGATTATGTCTTTGATTGGACCATCTTGAAGTATCAGCAATCTCAAATTGCCACTTCTCCTTCACGCGCCATTGGTTCTGGTGCTGGGCCAAGTTCTGGCATACCACCAGCTGTTGTGAGTGCTACTGATAGACCGACGGGTGGGGAGTTTAGCTGCTGGGTTTATTCATATATATAGGTTTCTAGAGGATGGAAGGTCTCTTGAACTACTTCACAAAACTCAAGTTGAAGGTGTTCCTCTTGCTCTAAGTCAGTTTCAGGGAAGGTTACTTGCAGGAATAGGACCTGTTCTTAGACTGTATGATTTGGGAAAAAGAAGATTATTAAGGAAGTGTGAGAATAAGCTATTCCCCAACACAATTGTCTCTATTCAAACCTACCGTGATCGAATTTATGTTGGTGACATCCAAGAGTCTTTTCATTACTGCAAGTATAGACGGGATGAAAACCAACTTTACATATTTGCTGATGATTGTGTCCCGAGATGGCTTACGACATCATACCACATAGATTTTGACACCATGGCTGGTGCGGACAAGTTTGGAAATATCTATTTCGTGCGGTTGCCGCAAGACATATCTGATGAGATAGAAGAAGATCCTACTGGCGGGAGGATCAAGTGGGAGCAGGGGAAGCTGAATGGAGCTCCCAATAAGGTGGAAGAAATTGTACAATTTCATGTTGGCGATGTGATCACATGCCTGCAAAAGGCCTCTCTTATACCAGGTGGTGGAGAATGCATTTTATATGGAACTGTTATGGGAAGTATTGAGGCATTACACGCTTTTACTTCACGAGATGATGTTGATCTCTTTTCCCATTTGGAGATGCATATGAGGCAAGATAATCCACCTTTGTGCGGAAGAGACCACATGGCATATAGATCTGCCTATTTTCCTGTTAAGGATGTTATTGATGGGGACCTATGTAAGCAATACCCAACATTGCCAATGGATTTGCAGCGAAAAATTGCTGATGAATTGGACAGGACCCCTGGAGAAATTCTGAAGAAACTGGAAGAAGTGACGAGACTGTGGCAATGATAGAGGCCTATCTTAGAGCAAACAAATTGTTTGTCGACTATAATGAGCCTCAACAAGACAGAGCTTATTCATCCTATCTTGAATTAAATCTTGACGAAGTCGAACCATGTATCTCTGGACCAAAGAGACCTCATGACTGGGTGGCTTTGAAAGAAATGAAGGCTGATTGGCATTCTTGTCTTGATAACAAAGTGGGATCTGGAAATTTGTTGTCCTGGAAGGTGACAACTGGAAACAGAATGCTTGTATTATCTGCAAACTCAGTGCATACATCTAGATATTTCGGGTGGCCTGCATTGGTAGATTTGACGACGACAACGTGTTTGGAGTTTCCGTTGAAGTTGATCCAGAGAATAAACTTCCATCATTGTTGGGTACAATTAATGATTTGTTCTCAACATTAGAAGCTTCAGTTGGACATCTACATGCAACGTGTCGGAGAAATTCTTCTGTTGATGGGACTTATTCAAGTCTCCTGATGTTTGAGTGGCTGCCATGAAACGGTTATCAAAGTCGACAGCTTCGCCAAGAGTTTCGGAGGTTGGGAGGATACAAACATTGTACAGTTCAGTTGTTTCCGGGACTTTATCGGTTCAAAGTGATTCAACATGTTCGTCAAGTAAAGTTGGGTTTCAATCAAAGCTTGTTGTACCTGTTCAACCAGAAAAACAAACCTCGGCGTCTTCTCCATCTACTTGTGTATCAAATACTGGACGGAAATGTAGGTTGCAAACATCCTCTTCTTCCTCTACAGAAGTAGAGGGCAGCACAATTAAGAAACCGCCACACCGTGCCCCTCGCACAGTCAAAATGGTCATGAAGAACAAGAATGTGAGCAAGAAGAAAGTGAAGGAGGATTCAAATTCTGCATTATGTGATCCTGCATCAAATAAAGTTAGTAAGTCTGTTCCCGGCTCAGCTCGGCTTGTTTGTGAAAGACGTAGGAATGCCGTATCTTGGTTTTAATGATTGCACATCAATTGAGGCGTGGAAGCTTCAATATTATCAATGGGAAATGGCGGCGTCAAGAAGCGGCAGAAAATAGAATTCTGCGGTAGCAGAAGCTTTGTTTTTATCCAGACTATTTTCACGTATTCAAGCCATGAACCAAGCCATATTCACAAGCTGCAGCAAAAATGGATAGCACATGAGCCAGTTGAAAAATAATCCACGTCAGATAATTGAAATTGAGGTGAAATCAAAAAGAAGGAATAACACGTGATGAGCTACAAATGTGAAAAGAAAAACGACACGAAAAATATCAGCAAAAAGCTCACGCGTAAACACCCAATTCAAAACGCAGTGAAATTTTCATAATTGGCAAATCATTTTCACTCGTTCTCCCTCCCTCTCAATCTATAAATATAACCCACCTCTCATTTGTTTTTTCAAGCTTTTCAAGCCAAAAAATCTCTGCTGATTTTCTTCCTCAATTCCTCAATACAAAACCTTTTGCTCATATTCTCTTCTCCGACTTCCTTCCACCAAATTAATTTCAATTAACCTCAAACAGAGATCAATTTCGAACCAGAATTCATTCAGAAGAAGAAGAAAGAAGAAGAGAATTGCGATTTCATCATTCACCTGAGTTTGAAGGTAGATTGAGCTTCACCGTCAGTTTCGATCCGTTACTTTTTGTTGTGTTTCTTTGAATTGTTGGTACTATTGTGAAGAGCTCTTGATTTCGATTGCAACCGCGTATTTTTCGCGTCCCGCCATTGTGATTTAAGCAAGCATCCATGGCTGTGAACATTTTCGCGTGTGAGAGCTAGAAGAAGATGATGTGTTTCTATTTTCTTTCTGATTTCTATTTCCTTTTTTCTTTCACTTTGTTTTTATTATATTTTTATTTTTTAGTTTTTTTATTCTTTTTCTTAAATATTTGGGCCGTATGGGCCTGTTAATATTTTTCTTGTTAATAGTTTTATATTTTAAAGAAAACTCTTAAAAAATTGATTAAATATATATATATATATATATATATATATATATATATATATATATATATATATATATATATATATATATATATATATATATATATATATATATATATATATATATATATATATATATATATATATATATATATATATATATATATATATATATATATATATATATATATATATATATATATATATATATATATATATATATATATATATATATATATATATATATATATATATATATATATATATATATATATATATATATATATATATATATATATATATATATATATATATATATATATTAATTTGGATTAATTGTAATTTTGTTTTGGATCTTGAATTTTGATAAGATCTCATCAATATCAATGGACTTTGAGTGTTGATTTTATCCACTAAAAGAGGTGATTGATATTGATGATGATTTAATCGATTTAAGATTCAAATTGAAATTTCTTTTTTCATTTTAATTTTCTTTCTTCTTCTTTTTATTTTTGATCGATGAAATCTATGGATCATAGATTGTTGATTATCAAGGTTGTTTAATCTTCATTATTTCAAATCTATGGATGAATAATCATTGAGATAATTCTCCGTACTTTGGAATAGTGATAGATTACCTTTGATTAATTGATTAAAAATCTTGATTATGATGAGATCACTACCTCTTTTCTTTTTGTGTGGCATGTTTTAGGAGAGTGATTTACATATCACTTCTCTAACATGTATTAACACTAACATTTTATTGACCGGCCTCAGATAGTCGTGGTTTCTACATAAACCCGATTACGATTGCTTAACATAGCGCTAAAGTGTCCCTTAATCGGAAAATGATCATTCGTGGCTCAAACTTACGTTTAAAAGTCCAAGTATGTTTAGTTGCTTGTCTTAAGTCCAATACCTATGAAAATCATTGTTAGGAGGCTTTGATTCTATCAATCCTCTAATGAGTTTTCATTAACCTTGGTCTAAAGTGCAAGAATTAATCATCATTGATCATATGTTCTAACCACTAATTACTAATTCACTAACATTATCTTTGTTTAATTTTGTTTATATTCTCTTCTTACTCCTTATTTCTTACTTTTATGCTTCCATATTATCATTTCATATCATATCTTTGTTTATGTTTATGTCATTTATTTTTTGTACACTTGGACCATATCTTGTTCAAAACACTAATAAAGGATAAAAAATCTCTAAAAAACTTGGTGTTGTTAACTTTGTGGTTATGCTCTTGGACTACTTTTAGACCTTGGACTTCATGGACCTTTGGACTTAGAATTAGGACTTTCATTCCTATGCTTGGAGTATCGTGGATCTTAGCCTTTATTTGGCTCGCTCATTAGCTTATGCTTTAAATCGGATGGAATTCTTTTTGCTTGCTATGGAGTGTGCTACAAGTTGGTTAGATCTTTCTTACCTCTAGCTTTTATTTTGGTTTCTAGGATAGTCACTTCATCTCCTCCCCTTCTTAAATTTTCAAAACTTTCTCC